TGAAACAGGGCAATCTCAGCTCTTAACTAGTAGCAGACGAAATCCAACTGTTACCGATCAATATTGACCATGTATCGCCCAATACAGGGTCATATAATGGATACCACCCGGTATATGGTTGTTTGTGTACCGATCCCCTATCAAATCGATACGTACCACCCATACTAGGTGGAACAACTCGGTACAGCGAACCCTGCCCAGGAATGGTAAGTGTTTCATGTCCCACTGTAAATCTTTGAAGCTTAAGCTACTACCTTGTACATATATTATACTAAGAAAAGCATAAAAAGCCTAGGATATTTGTCAGGCCTTTTCTCTTTAAGCAATTTAGTGCCCTAGTTCTTTTCATATTTGTAATTTTTAAGAACAAAGAAACTCCGATGGCTATACTAATATGACAAAACTTTATACTTTGCAAAATGCTCATTTAATATGGCAACTTTCTGCAAGCACTTGCAATTTAAGAGCTAACTTCAAAGACAAAAATTCAGAAGTAATACCATAATATACATCTAGTGTACACATAAAGCATAATATTACATTGAAAGTACATCACAAAATTGTATAGTCAAGATATTACCTTGGATGAGGATTTCCTTTCACTACTTTTTGCCCGTATTTACGCCATCTAAACCCATCATCCAAAAGATCAACCTCACTTCTTGTCTGCACAATGATCCTAGGCTCAGTCAATGTCTTCTGAGAAGAAGCTGCCATGTTCCTGAGAATCAGCCGAAGATAATATCATGAGATGTAGAATAATGAGAATATATATAGTTTTAGGGTGTATCTCATATATACCTTCTTTTAGGTTCACGTTCACCATCATCTCCCACATCTGCCTTAACATCAGCCACTTCTTCGCCATCAGTTGACCCAGATATTTGTTCAGGCGTCTCATAACCAGATTCTTGATCTTTTCTGGTAATTGGAACAACCTTTATGTTGTTTAGTTTGCCAAAATTTCCATCATGATCCAGAGAGCCTAGGTTAGGATTATCAAGGTTTCCATTTGTCTCATGTGATCTGCTAGGCAAACTGCCACCTTCCTTGGCACGCTTATTTGGTAGAGGGCATTGATGATTATGTTGGCCCTTGTAGATTATCTCGGTTACTTGACCATCTACTGAGCGTTCTACCTTTTTCTTAACTGGGCAGTTTGGATTGGTGCATTTATAATAACTCCTAGGATATTCACTCCCTTTCACAACCTTCTGACCATACTTCCGCCAATTGTAGCCATCATGCACAGGTTTATCAACAATGGTTGTAGTAGGTTGGGATCTTTGGTCAGATTGGAAACCTTCTGCAGATTCTAATACAGTATCAATTGGTTTAAGAGTAGGTATCTTTGGGATTAGTTGCTGTGGTGAGGAAGTAGTTGCTGCTGTTGTTAAGAAAGGTGATGGGAATTCTGCCTGACTTGACATTCTAAACTGAGATTGTGCAGCCTGGGCTGTGACTTGAGCAAGGACCTCTTGGTGGGACATTGCAAAATTCCCCTACAGGGATCGTAGTGTAAGATGCAATCAGCAATTGATGAATTTATAAACTAAATTGTTTCATAGAGAAGAACACCATTAACAAATCAGTATATAGTTTATTCACATGTACCTTAACCTTCACAAACAAGTCATAGCCTAATAATAACATGACTCCAAAGACAATACTTTAGCAGTTCAAGATATCTGCTTAGTGAAATAGTGAAGTTCCGAAGCTGGAAAAACACGATGCCAATTTTTGTTTCTTAAGTAAAGTGGAAGAAAGAAAAAAAGATGTGTGAACATCTACTTTGAGCAAAATATTGGTTTTCCAGGATGAATCATAAGATGTGCCCAGCTAGTTGTCTAAATAAGTGCAATTTTATTTAGGTTGCGTATTACAACTTTTGCATATGATTTGAGGGTTTGGCTGAAATGTAAAACAACCACCACAATTATAATCAGTAAAACATAAATTCTACATCAAGTTTAACTATTCAAATCAAATTTTTTCTCCATATATAATAGTTATATCTACCTACCAAAAAGAAGCAAATTATAATGCTTCTTAAGCTTGTCCGTAAGGACGATCATCTCTACTAAAAGCTGCAGAATGATTCTTTTTATGTGTGCTACTGCAAGATGCCTAAAGATGCAAAGGTTTTGAAGATGGTTTCTTGACCCCATTAAATTCAGTTTTTAGAGAGAGAAAAAGGGGTGGGGGAGGGGGAGTGTGTGCACGGGGACAGGACAGGGGAGCAAGGGAAGGCCAACAATACTGTAAAACCTGAAGAAACAATGATTGTCGAGCCATTGCTCACTGTTAACTAGTGGGGGCTTCTTGTACCTAAATTATTTCCTTATGAAAGGATTCCTCATTTGATCTTCATTGCAATTAATTGTTCTTGTTCCTAAGTGTCTTCCAATGCTTTTGACTAAAGTGCACTCTAAATATTGCCAACACTAAGTTAATTGAATCAAGCACATAGACAAGAAACCTTAATCTTTTTAGTAGCTTGGTAGAAGTTTATTTGATTTGTCACTACTCATGCAACTTTCTGGGAAGGTTAATGATATTGCAACAAGTTGAGAGAAAGTTCTCTGCAGAGCAGAACCATGAATGACAAAATTTGGCCAATATCATTAAAAAGGTTCATGACATAACACTTGTGTTGGTGACCCCTTCCATTACATTAGTGACACTGGAATAGACCTTACCAAGCCTCTAAATAGCAAAGTGACATCAATAGAAAGGTGTCTCTGTCTATTATGACATCTACAAGCATAATTATTTAGCTCTACCAAGCAATCAACATTACTTCAAACGTTGTGTCATTGAGGCTCAATGTATCATATAACCTGACCTAATGAGATAACTTAAACCATTAGCCTAAAATACTTAAGCCGAAGTCATTAGTAATACACCCATCAAACCCTTTTAAGTCAATCTTAATCATTGTCCATTTTTTATGTGGGACTAAATCCGACGTTACATTATGCTCATGCAAGGCATATGTTTGTCTTAAGCTAGAAAAGAAGAGGATTTCTTGCTATCAGTCTAATGCATTTTGCTTGATGAACCACAAAAGACATGACTTGCCAAAAGGGAGACCATTTCAAACCTTGCCTTCATCGGCCACAATTATCATAGTTGACCAAACAAACAATCTGATTTTATTATTTCAAATAATCATCATTTGGCACAGATGAAAATCATTCACTATTTCAATCGATCACCTTGACAATGTTCAAATTCTTGCCATATACCTTACATTATTTAAAATCCCTATGCTGACCAGCAATGCTACATTACTTCAATCGGTCACCTTGATATTCTTGCCATTTACTTTTTTATAAACATTATTGTAAATCCCTATGCAGGCCATCTATGCTAACAATTTAACCACTTTAGAGTTCCTTACCATGCTCAGCATTCAACAACCTCAGCAACAAAGAACATCAAGATCAAGTACCATTTACTGCAAAATAAAGAACCCTACTTTGCATTCTTCTCTAGGGCCTAAATGCTTATACCTTCCCGAAGCAGTAGACCAAGACAGTTCTGCTGATAGTCTACATCGACAAGAGGAGTGCTATGATAAAGAAAATAAGGTGAGTTGAGTAGGAGTCTATCACATCATATCATCTTTTATGAATACCAATTGTAGCTCCAATATGACAGAGTAACTGAAATTAAATAAATTCAATTTGTGTAAAAAATAGATATTCAAAATTATTAGTAAACCACAGGTAATTAGGGAACTCAGGAAGTAGCAGTCTTTCATGGTAATAGATAGAAACTTGAACGGCAAAGTTCAACACATATTTATCACTATCATCCCAACATGCACCAGACATCCACACATTTTCCCCATTAACGAAACACAGGAAACAAATTCGCAACAAGATGAAATTTTTGGTGAATCACGTACCAGGCCAGATGAGAAGAACGCAGGAGAATCAAGCAAGCTCGCAGGGCTCAACCCTGGCGGTACAGTGAAATATTGCGGCTGGCTAATCGCCAGACTCGGCGGCCTATTCTGCCCCAACAGGACCAACCCGCCACCGCTCTCCAGTTCCCCACCGCTGGAGCGCTTCTCCACCTCCTTCCCCTGTTCCCCCGCGGAGCCCACCGTCCTCCTTGCCGCTGCTACCGGAGAATTCATCGCACCGACGAGCAGCTGAGTGAAGGACCGGCACTCCGATTCGGGGTCATCCGCGAAGAAGCTCGACACCAGCGTCAACGGGCCGGGGCTCACCTCGGAGGCGCCCGCGCCCCCGCCGCCGCAGTGGAAAAGGCTCTCGAGGGCGAAACGGGGAGGGAGGGTTATGGTGGGCCGCGGTGGCGCCCCCGCCCTTGGAGCCACCGGCGCCGCGGCATCACCTTCACGGACTGTCTCGCCTCCGCCGCCGCCGCCGTTCTCCTCCTTCATCAGATCGTACAAAACCGCTCTCCTTCACTCTCTTACCGATAATTATAAACGAGAGCTACAAATGGGAGAATGGAGACTCCCTCCAAATTAACGATCGAATGGAGTAAAAAAGGAAAAGTTGACTTCAGACGCCACTGAATCATAATTACAATACTACCCATCACCATCTTTTTCTTAACGAATCTACCCTTGCAGGTGACGCCAATTATGATGTGCCTTCCAATTAAACGACGATGGTGGAGGGCGTTCTGGGAACTACACTAAATGCGTTGGCGGCGGGGTGGCTGTGAGGTTGCGCGATCACCCGGAGGAAGAGGCACAAGCACAGTGACCGAACACTTCGTTGGATTCTTGATCACGACACATACTATATTGATTTGATCGGTAAAAACACAAAGCGACAAGGAGAGGGGAAAAGCAAAAGATTTCTTCTCCTTGAGATTTCGGGTCGGTGGTGTTCCAATGGTGATCGCATGAAACACGTTTACCACGATCGCAGGACGCTGAGCGATACTTGTCATTAGAACCCAACGCTATCGACGCTTGCGTTCTAACAACAGCACCAACAATCCAAATACAACAAAAATTAAAATTTAAGATCTTGAAAATAACAGAATATTCTTTATCGTAATAGGTACAAGTTGCAAGGTCATACACGATAATTAGTACCTGAATTCGCTCTGTATTCTACCTACATCCAGAAACAACTGGTGGAAGAATAATCATGTAACGGTGGCGGGTCTAATCATCTCAGTCCATCTCCGAAGTCCGAACAACACTTGCAGTTCTCTATCTCCCAATCGAATGCCAACCCATTTCCATATAGTCAGCTCTCGTTCTCATAAATGTTAACATCCATCATTGGTGGCTTCAGACTCCAAATGCTCAACGCACTTCAGGAAAGTATGTCCATTAAACGCTTCGATGATGCTGCTCCGTTCCTTCTTAAAGAAGGGTTCGCAGAAACACAGCCAAGCAAATTAAACCGCATTTCCCCTTGAGCTCAGAGAGAGACCATAAGAATTTTTCACATAGTCATACCATATCTTTTACTGCTTGCCTTGGAATAAAGCGGCCACTCAAGAACACTTGGGTGCTGAGCAAGAAAGACTTTATAATAAGCTGGACTCTCCCAGAATAGATGATAATTTATTTGGCCAGCACTTACCTGGTTCAGTCGAACAAGCTTTGATAATCTTGCTTCTTTAGCCTAGGAGGTAAAGTATGATCCTAGGTAATTAACTGTTAAGCATCCTTCAGCAGAATGAAAGATGATATCCAAAGCCTGTTGTTTCTGATTTGCAGGAATTTCACAGAAGAACACTCTTGATTTTCATTTTGTTTGTAGCCAGACCCAATGTGAAAGAAAATGCTATCAGAGCTTCAACTTTTTTCTTCTTATTGATCACTTCTGAATCTCGTAACTTCCTATATAGAACAATGAAATAAGAATTTGCATCAAAAGTAACTTCAAAGAATTAAAATTTTCAAACAAAATTTTGTTTAAATAAAGATCTATCATCTATCCATTTATATTATCTGATAGCAGCGGGTGACCGTTGCTTAGTCCTAATAGCAAGTCATCTTCAAGAAATGTCACCTAAAAAAGATCAATCTGGTGTTCTGTGGAACAACATAATTTGTCCACTACGCCCAGCAGTTGAGAAATGTAATACAGAAAGACCAAAACTCCGTAGAGTCGTTTTAATATCCTCCAAGGTATGAGCAGTAGCAGAAAAATCTGCAAGAAGGGAAATATCCTCAATGCCTCACATTATCTTTTGAAAAACTTAATATCTTTGAACTAGTTGGGCAAAACCATCAACAAAAATAAGCAAATACCCCCTTTCTTTCTCCTTTTCTACTTCCTTCACCTCCTCTTCCTCCTCCCTCCTCTTCTTCCACTTCCTTCTTCCTACCCCAACTCCCCCTCAGCAGACGATAACCGTGGTGCAGTCCGGTGTACCATGTGTTGGTATGCAAACCCGATGGGTACCAATCCGGCCATGGAATGACACAAGTTCAGTACCCTAAGTTGCATTCCTTGCTGGCATACCCCCACTTAATTCTCTTTTCTCCTTCCTCTTCTTATGTCATGCTTCAGCTCTGCTCCACCACGTCGGCGCTTCCTTCCGGTTGCCACTGTCACACTCCTATCCTCCTCCACTGCTTATCTGCGTAGCCATCTTTCTTCCACTTTATGGTACAACTCCTCTTCCACCTCTCTCTCTCACTCTCTCTCAAACACACACAGAACGACCAATGGTAACTAGTACCAGCACATACTGGCACTCGATACTAATCTAACAAAACTGGGGACCTTTTGCTCTACATTATCAAACAGTATGGAGTTTCTAAAATCCAAAATCCACAACCAGATATGAAACATTTTTAAATTACTTGTATCATCAAAGGACACAGATAGAATCTACCTTACGTAGAAGCAAGATAGTTAAGATTACTACAAAAATATTAGAATTTGTACATCTAACCGTAGATCTTATTTATTCTTTGACAAATTTTCTGTTATGAGAAAATGATAAAAACCAGTCCATTTTAAGAGTAACTTACCGTACCATGGAGTAACTTACTGTGTCAGAAGTGCTCCACAAACTGGTTAACAAGAAATCCTTTGGATGTACCCCAAGTAAAGATCAGCCAGTGCAATAGGAACATGTCTGAATCACTTGATCAACTGAACAACTCATAGGAGCTCTTTCTATCACCATATATCATGAATGTCATTGACAAGTAGACACAAATTTGACAGATTTGATACTTGAGGTTATTCAGCATCGTGCTCCACCTCCATCTTCCTTGTATAAAATCTTAGTTCCATAGAATTTCAATAACTCGATTTTCCTACATGGCATGCTTTACTAGAGAGTTGACCGAATGACCAGCAGATTCTTTTCCATCGAAGAAAATCCAAGAGTCAATTGAAATTCTTAATTGTAACTTGAAAGATTCCTCTAGGGCTTCAATCGCCACAAGCACACTCATTCAGTTCAACCAAGCTATAGCCAGGTATCTTCGCCAATCCTCTTTGTCTAGCTGTAGTCCACACTTTTGCAGCTTCATTCCAGTTACCAGACTGAGCATATACATTTGACATGAGAGCATAAGTACCTGACACCTGGGGCTCTAGGTCTAGGAGTTCCTGCCCAATCAGTTCCCCTAGTTTTGTGTTCTTATGGACCTTGCAAGCAGCAAGTAGAGTGCACATTGCACTGGCCCTGTCTCTTAATGGAGAGCACTTCACCAAATTGTATGCTTCTTCAAGTTGACCTGCTCGACCAAGTAAATCAACCATGCAGTTGTAATGCTCTTCTTGTGGGGCAACCAAATAATCTGAATTCATGGAACTAAAGATGCGCCAACCCTCTTCAACCAGCCCAGCATGGCTGCAAGCTGAAAGCACAGAACTGAATGTCAACTCATCCGGCTTCAAATTTTCCCTTTGCATTTGACTAAACATCTCAAGCACTTGTGTACAGTAGCCATGAATGCCATATGCAGCAATCATCGTATTCCATGATGCCAGTTCAGGTCTTGTCATACCTTTAAATACAGCTTCTGCAACATCTACTCTTCCACACTTTGCATATGTAAGTATCAGAGAATTCATGGTGGCAATATCTTCTACCAGACAAGTTCTGTAAATATACCCATGAATTTCTTGAACTGGTTCTGAACTACCCAGTTGAGCATGTGCCTGAAGTAGAGTTACAATGACAGGTGAATCAGGCTCTTCACCTGTTCTCTGCATTTTCTGAAACATTGCAGTAGCTTCATCAGCAAGACCAATATTTACATAACCCATCATCATCACCGTCCATGAAACCAAGTCTTTATCTGTTATCAAATTGAAAATCATCTTCGCATTCTCAATTTGCCCACACTTTGCATACATGTGCATGATCAAATTGGAAACATCTAAATCTAATTCAAGTCCATATCTGATCACAATACCATGAACCCACCTGCCTTTTCTTGCATCTCCCACATCAGCAAATGCTGATAATAGACTCACCACTGTTGCAAAGTTTGGTCTTGCAGCTTCCCTAATCATATCGCTGAACATGTTAATAGCCTCTTCAACTAACCCATTGTGGAGATAACCAGAAATCATGACATTGTACACTATTGTATCTCTGCAGATCAGATGATCAAACAATATCCTTGCTCTTTTCATTTTATGGCACTTGGAGTACAGCTCAATGAGAGTGGTGGTCAGAACTTCATCAAGTTGAATATTTCTTCTCATTATGTAGGCATGAAGACTTGTGGTGTGCTGCACCAGATTCCAATTAGAACAAGCTGACAGCACATTTGCCAAGGTGATGGAATCTGGAAAAAGATTATTGTCTTGCATCATAAGACAGAAATATTTTAAAGCTTCAGAACTCTGCCCAAGTTGACTAAGCCTAGCTATCAGTGCATTCCATGATGCAACAGTCTTTTTCTTCGTTTGCCTAAGAACAGAAGCTGCTATGGAAATGGCACCACATTTAGCATACATATCCACGAGACTGGTCAGCAGGACCTCATCTGAGACACCAATCCCTCTCCTGAGGGCATAGCAATGGACTGAACGGCCCTGTTCAAGTTCTCGTAACTGCCCTGCTGCCTGAAGCAAGCTCACAAGGGTCACCCTGTTTGCATTTAGCCCTTCCCTGTGCATGACAGTAACAATTTCAAATGCCCCCCGTGCATTGAAATCAGTAAATTCTGCATATCCAGTAACCATTGCTGTATAAACAACAACATCCTTATCTATGATCTCTATAAATGCTCGTTCTGCATCCTTGATACTTCCAAATTTGAAGTATAAAGCAATTAGTGAAGAACCAATAAACCTATCATCATTTAGACCAACCTTGAAGGCATCTACATGGACAGATCTTCCGAACTCTATGTTCATGAGTTCCATACAACTCTTTAAACCAAAATTAATAGCTGAACTAGCAACATCAATTCCTTTATACTTTATATTTAAATACAACATAAGAACTTCCTCAAAATGGCCAGCTCTAAAGTAGCTAACAATAGCAGAATTCCAAAGAGCAATATTTTTGTTCACAGTCTTATGGAATACCCATCTAGATTCAGCTAAACCACCAAACTTAGCATAACAATTCAAGAGCTTGGATTGAAGATAACTGTTATCTACAAGTCCATGAGTGAAAATGCGAGCATGAATCTTTCTTAGCAATCTGATATCCGTGCATGCTTGCAGACAAGACACGAACCTCTCTGTCGCATAGAACTTGCGCAATGACAAATTTTCACTAGTACATCCACATAGTCTCCTTGAACAAGTCGCAAGGGGTGAGAACTGGAGAATCTTTTTCAGTGGTAATCTGAACTCAATAGAAGAAGGCAGCATTTTGTTTTCTAATTTAAAATGGACCATTCTGATTTAAATTGAACTGGTTTATTTTCCTTCGAAAGCATTAAGTTGTTGCCATCAAACAACAAAGAGAACACCAAACGAATCTGATTGGAAAAGACTTATTTAGTAATGTAGAAAAGAAAAGCCCGATCTTTAAGAACAGATCAAAACCAGAAGAAGAGAGAACAAAATTGAACCAATCAAAAGGTTTCCTTCATAAACATCTACATATACGTATAAAAGCAGAGAAATAGGAGACCTTTAAATTTGGAACACCAACGCTATATATCTACCTTGGAAGAAATAAAAGGGAAAGACTGTGAAAATTTTGCCATTAAATCGGATCGGATGGTTTAGTTAACCGTCGAATCATGATAATTAAAGGGGTGCCTCCATCCCATCGACTCCGTGAACCCTCTTGAGATCATTGAATCCACCTCCGCCGCCGTCACCGTCGCGTGGCGGCGATGCCGGGACCCGGGTTGACAAGGAGAGAAGACGGAGCTACCCTCCGATCCATCTCGACGTTGAGGGCGTAGCTTAGGGGGTCGTACCTGAAAAAATCAGATGAGACCCCGCGCCGATGATTCACCCCGCTGCAGCGGGAGGAAAGCCCAGGCACTTCCCACGGTTATCCCGCAGCTCGTGCATCTTGGGCCAGATCCGCGAGGCCGACAGGATCAGCAGCCGAGCCGCTCGCTCGCCGTACGGGGTTCTCGTAGATCCCCGTCGTCGGGGGGTTCTCGCAGATCCCCGCCGTCCGGCAGCGCGGAAGCAGTCGGTGCAGCAGCGGTGGTGGTGCTACGGGTGTTAGGGTTTAGGTTCTAAATGTGAATTTTGTTTTATAAATCGATTAAATTGAAATATTATAATATTATTATTTATTTTTATCATCAGCTCTAATTCAATAAAAAAAAATTTACTATCAAAAACCTCATATTTTGTGTTAGAGAAAAAAAGTGGTTGACATTCTAATCGTGAATGCGATTAGTCTGAAACTGAAATATAAGAGTGTGAATGTGATTAGTCAAAAAAAAAAAAAAAAAAAGTCTAACCCGATTTCATTATGTTGAGAATGTAATTTTATATTTCGTTGTAGAGGGGGATTAATCTCTAACGACTCTAACGGTTTTCCTCTTGGCTTTTTATCCACGTCGGCAACATGAGGGACAACCCATAACCGCCTACCTTGCACTTGTTTTGGCTCTTGTTTTGCAGACAAACGAGTGGAAGGTGACCTGAATCTTTTCCTCCTATCAAGGACTCCACGTGATGGTTATGTTGAAAAAGCGAAGAGTGAAATGGTAGAAACAAGCTCATTTCAATTAGTATCATAAGGACGGTGAAAGAGAGGATTTCCTCAATTGAGCAGCGATATTTCCTCGTGTAGTTGAGGAAATCTCATCTGCTATGCAGTTGAGAAAATCTCTCTATTATCATATGTGATAGATGATGATTGACTGATAGTGTAGTCTTCATCATTTATTACCCTTCCCCAAGGCATACTTCGGGGCTCTTGCGAGAGAGGTTCGAAGTGCAACATTTAGTTCTTCCGACATGAGTGCGTTTGGGATTGCCTCCCTAGTATTGTTGGTGGCAATCTATTGCTAACTTGTCCCTCGTGGCATCGAAGGGCACATGTTGGTCAGAAAGAATCAAGTTTTTCGATCTCTCCATCTCTTTGCAACCTCCACGTCACAAATGAAGGTAGGGGTTGGCCTTTTTGACCTCCACACCTCCGACGAAGACGGGGTCGACCATCTCGACCTTAATGCCTTGTGTATATTTTGCCCTCTATTATGGTAAATTTCTTCTCGTGTTGGTCAGGTTTTCCCAACTCATGTCTCTTGGGCATATTTTGCATTATACCTCTACTATAACAAACTTCTTATGTGGATAAGGTTTTTCTGACTCATGCGCTTTTGGTATATTTTGCCTTTTGCATCTACCATAGTGGATTTTTTCTCATACGAGTTAGGTTTTCTCACCACGAGCACATTTTGTTTTGTACTTCGTTGTAGCAGATCTCTTCTCATGCAGGTCAGGTTTTCTCGACTCATGTGTCATCATCGTGGTTCGAGTTAAAGTACTCTATTTCCTATTTGAAGATAATTTTTGAGTTATTCTCCATCCATGGGCACTTTTCAATGGTAGTTCAAACGTAAGCTTTATGACCCGAGGACTTATTTTCTTCCAAGGCGGGTCCACCAATTATAACGTTAATATATCTCTTCATCGACCCTTGAGATCAGGTCGAAGCTTCCCAATGCCTTCGGATAAACTACCCGAGGTGTCTTTGACAAATGAGTTCTTTAATCCGTTCTTTCAAGTCACAATAATCTTTTATGTATGGTCATAATGTCGATAGAAGTAATAGTACTTGGATCTATCTTTCTTTACTAGTAGAGTCTTTATCAGTAGAAAACCTTTTAAGAGTCCCTTATCTTTTATCTATAAAAGGACTCTAGTTCTAGTTATATTCAAGCGGGTTAATTCAGACCTTGGACGAGGCAACTCGAGTCATTTGCTTCTTCTTCGTCGTAGTGACCTTAGGGTCGAGGCAAATTGAAGCTACTCCTGTCTTGGTCTTTTATGTGTCTCCTTATATTTACCTTAGCGATAATATATTGTTGGCCCTCTAGAGTACCTTATGTACCGTCGCTAGAGCCATCTCTACCAATGACCAAAAAAAGCGAGAGGGCTTGAGTCCTATCATGAAGGTATGTTTTATAAGTGATGAATGAGCATTTTGCATGTCTCGAATTTTATTTATGAACCAAGCAAAGCATTATCACTGATAGCCTCGGGTGTATACTCTCGAGGAAGTAAAGCTCAAATTTCATAGCTAACTGAGCAAAGGAATTGATAGAGAACGACTTCAAAAAGGCATACTATTCTTGTGTCTGGCCTCTTAATATGGTAAAAAAAGCGTGACATACTAGAACATCTAAAGTGTCATATAATAATATTTGAGCGCAGAAAGCAACAATGTGCTCTAATGGGTTGGTACTACCATCAAATGTCTCAAATGATAGGAGACGGAAGTTGGTCATGATCGACTCCTCTTTTATATCTTTGGTGAATGACAATTGACCAGAGGTGTGGTTGATTAGCCTTTCACATCTGGATCATTGAAATTCTCATTTATCTCCTCCAAGCACTGATCTATTTATCGTAGTTGGATCCTAAGAGAATAATTCGTTAAATATATTGACTAGGTCTAGAATTCAAGTAGAGTAGAGTTGTGGTGTCATGGTTCGTTGAACTCTACGATTGGATAATGAGGTGCTTCCTTGACCGACGGTTCAATGGGCCTCGGTGCTCTTAAGATATTAGTATTATATCGGGTAGGGGGACCCAAACGGACATCGATGTTTGTGGTGGTTGAGCTGCTGATTATGGTTGATATGACAACATCACTTGTTGGGCTAATAGGGCGAGACTTGAGCAATCATGCACATTATTGTATGCATTTATTGGGTGAACATCGTAGTGGGGACGAGTTGTGACTTCGGGTCACCCTTGGGTCATTGAACATATACCAATATCGCATTGGTGTTTGCGCTAAGGTGGATGCATCCACATGTGAAAATGTTGTCTACTGTCCCCTTGAATGAAAGTACTATGGGTCGGGAGGAGGGCCAACTCATCGGGTGTTTGTTAAGAGGGTTAGTAGGTAAACATTCCTGCAACATCGGGCCCTCCTTCTAGCGTAAAGAATATTAGGGAAAAAAGTTGTTGACATCTTAGTCAGCTCGATGTTATCTGAACTCGTATATATAGAGTTGTCCAAGGTGGAAATGTCAAGCTATTATAGTATCACTTGCATGAAGACCAAGGTCAAGAGAGGTCTCTTGACCCGATCCATATGATGCCCAAGTTAGTAACCGAAGGTATGTAAGTGTGGACATGAGTGGTCAAGTAAGCTTAATTAAAAAGGTATATTTGTCCCCTTTTATAATGTTCAAAATGAGTATTCCTACATGGTCATAAAAGATAAGAAGGAAACTTATGATTATCTTTCTAGTCATTAAGGGTAAGAATGAAGTTACGATTGCCTTATTTGGAACTTCGTCCACGTAGGTAGATGAGCAGAGATATGACCTTTGTCTTCTCTCTTTTTGCACATCACGTGATAATTACGATGATGATTAATCGATAGTGTATTCCCTATCATGGGGCAATGAACATGGTTAGATGACATCGAGCGACACTAAGTTGAGGTAATACGAAATGAGTGTTGATTAGTGACAAAAAGTATGAGCTAAGAGTGATGATTGACGATAATGAGTGTAGACTGGGAAGCGTCGACAACAGTACGATGCATAGGGGATCGACCATAAGAATTATGGAGAAAAAAAAATTAAAATTAATAAGATAAAAAATAATATTTTATTATTTTTTTAGAAAAAAAATGAATAGTAAAAAATTATCAATAGTAGGAAGGGAATCACTAAAAAAAGAAAAATCTCCATGTAAAACCAATAAGGGTGCCGTCGGAGAAAAATTGAATAGTAAATTTTTTTTAAGGTAAAATGCCCAGACTCTTTTTTTTTATTTAAGAAATCAATTGATCGTCAAATAAGTATTTTAATATTGCAAAAGTGAACCATTAAGCTGTATACATGTGCCTCTTTCGGAATGGAGACGCTATCTAATTCCGAGAAACACAAGCGACGGCCCGTCTTTCTTCTTCCGCGGTTCCTCTTTCTCGGGGCTCGTAGCCGTGTTTCAAATGAGAACCTCAACCCTAATAGCTCGCTCCGCTTCCTCCTCCTTCCGCTCCGCCATACGGTCCAAGCGGCCATTCCCTTCCCTGAGTCCCTCCTTTCTCGCCTTCACCGCCTCTGCTCCTCTCCGCTCTCTGGGGTTAGGCCTTCGTGGACCCAATCCGTCCTTCTGCAAACCCTTCTCCTCCCAATGGTCCTCAGCTGCCGAGGCCGCCGAGGACCCCGCTGACTCCTCGGACGACACCGTCGAGGAGTTGCTTAACCGAGGAGAGGACCGCATCCACCAGCTGATGAAGATGGAACGAAGGTCCGAACCCGAGGGCGGCAGCCACCGCGGCCGGTGGTTCCCTTACCGCGACCTCTTCAAATCCGGGAACGCGGCACTCGGGAGCCGCGAGGTGATAGCGGCGCTCGACCCCTACATCCTGGACGCTAGGAAGGAAAGGATCCGTAGGGCGGTTGAGAACCGGAGCTATTCCGTGTGCTTGGTGGTCGAAGGGCTTACGGATTTTGGGAACGTCTCGGCGGCGTTCCGGTCGGCGGATGCGCTTGGAATCCAGTCGGTTCATGTTATTTCAAAGGACAGCAGGAAAAGGTGCAACCAGTTCGGAGGTGAAAGATCGTTTTTTTGTTAACCGATACATGTTGTAATATTATCTATACAGTCCTGAGTAATATCATCTCTTGAACTAGTGAGTGGTGTCAAGATGAGCCTCAGATTTTGTCGTAAAACTTATCGATTGCATCTTAAGCTAAAGATTAAGATTTTAAGGGACTGAGGTACTTGTATGTCGTGAAATTTGTGCCTTGTTGTTGATCATGTCCAGATTTCTTGTCTATGCTTGAACAGGTATCGAGACAATCGCCATGTTAGCATGGGTGCTGAGAAATGGTTGGACATTGAGCTCTGGAATTCACCTACGGATTGCTTTACAGCTTTGAAAAATCGTGGTTATCGAATTGTGGCAACTCATTTGGGGATTCATGCGGTATAAGTAACTTCTTGCCTCTTTCTTGAACTTCTAATAGAACTTACCCTCATCTCCAATTTTATTATTTTAATCATTAATATAGAGGGAAGACAAAAATTGTAAATTAGGTAGTCCAGTTTTCTGTTTGAGTTCCTTTTAGAACACTATAGCACAATTGCCAGGATTTGTTTGTTCCCTTGTTTATGGTTAATGTACCATGTTTTCTTCAACACTGGCAACATCTATTGTCAAAGATTGTTTGGAAAATATATTGCTTCCTTTTTACAACCACCAACTTTAAGACTAATTCTGCTTTAACTTATAAGTGGAAATATTGCTAAGAGATTTGCTGGTGTCCATAACTGGTTCAAATTATAAACAACTTCATGAATATCTCTCTAATTTCATTTTTTTAATGAACCGAAGTAGATTACTTCATTTTCTATTTAGAGCTTATTTGATTTTTCTGTTACCAGTTATCTAATAACTTGAACTGGTTTTGTAGGCTTCCATCTATGAGATGGATTGGTCACTTCCAGTCGCAATAGTTGTTGGAAATGAACACATGTAAGTACACCATGCACATAGATCATTGCCCCTGTCTTTTCAAAATAAATTTTGGTTAAGATCAATAGTCTCAGTTACCTTGCTTCCTTGATGACACTGTGGACATCTTTTCTTGGTGGCAATGTGGAATGTTGCTGCATTTTCCTAATAATGCTTCTTTTATCTTCTAGCTGAGCCTAGAACATTAGCTTAAACACTGAGAACAATCAACATCCATCATGATATGATCTGTCAGAATCTGTGGTCTAAATTTCACTCTGCAATTGCAATTGTCGAACTTACATAGTTCCATAACATTGTAATTTAAATGTTGTGTGTAACTGTTAACATTATCCTTTTTTTTTTAGCTCTGCTAAGTCGGATATCCCTTTTTTTCCTAGACATCAGCAACGAGTCAGTTCATGTGCATTAGGATGAAGTTTTCATTTTGGCAACATAAATAGTGACTATATTTGAATCAGCAATTATCTACATTACTTGACTGTAACCAGATAGTTTCACATGTTTGACTATAGGGGTATAACTGAAGAGGCTTTGCAGCTATCTGACATGCACTGTAGCATTCCGATGAAAGGAATGGTTGATTCTTTCAATGTTTCAGTTGCAGCAGGCATACTCATGCACCATGCTGTTTGTGATAGAATTTCTCGTCTGGTAAGTTGTGGTATACCTGCCAGATAAATTACAACTCTTGGTTCTCCACTATAAGAAATATGTGTGTTTTTGACTTTTTCTGTTGTTTTCATATCTTTTACTCATGATGAACTCAAGTTAAGTAATTGATGATTTTGAATATGCTTCCGTGGATCAGTCAGCAAAATAGGGATTTCTTACCACTTGTTCAAAAGTTGGTTTTACTGGAACCTATGTGACAGTCCAACTCAATTGATTCAAATTAAGAAACTCTGAAGTTGGGTACATGGTTTGATGGTAATCTTTTGAATGCTGCCAAATTTGTGCTTGATAAAACCTTCATAAGGGAGGGGCCCGTGTGGAAGCCTGGAAGATCAGTTGGCAAGCAACAAGCCTGTATGTTGATTTGAGTTGTGAACCTATTGAATGTATTGTCATGAGCAATCTTTACAGGGTTCTAGTTCTGGCAAGAAAGAGTAGGAAGAGGCAGGAGATGGGTTGCACTAATAAGATCATGCTCTTTGTTTGAGTGATATTCTTAGGATTTCTTTTGAACTTAGGTAATGTGAACTATAAACTAACTTGTCTGAAAAGTGAGGACCTAATTACATCACTGCCAATCTTCCACACATGAAAGCTTGTGCCATTTGTGCAGTGTTGTGGCTTTGTTGTAGAACACACTTAAATACATCAACAGAGATGTGAATTAGAGCTGAAGGGTGGATTTCTGTTTTCGCATCTTACACATTTGTTGGTCATATAACTGTAAATAGAATGAGTACTAAATTATTGTCATCCTGAACCCTAGTACTACCTGCAGGGTTGCCATGGGGATTTGACATCTGAAGAAAGTCAGATTCTGCAAGCAGAATTTTATTTGCGCCACAGAGAAACTACCATTGGGATTGTTCATGAGTATGCAAAAAGGATGGAAGGGCTCCTAGGCAAGCAATGAAAGCACTAGTTGAGCAAGATGATGGAACTTAATCTTGAACTGGACAAGTACCCAGGTAGATTTGCTTTCATTGTTTTGTACTTCACCTGAATGGCTACATTGTTTCTTCCAATATCCCTTTTCTTTTTTTTGTCTCTTAAGGAGACTAATGCAAATTCCTGTTTTTCCATTGACTCTTAAAAAAAAAATCATATTTGAAACCATTAGCAGAAAGGAAGCATAAGGTTATTGAAATCGATGATTTCATATTGTGTATATTACAGTTCTCGCCTTGAGGAATTTGTAGTTCGGGAAGTATAGATCTGTGGAAGACTGGTGCAAAATAAAAAGGATTTATTCAAAACTTGACACATACTACTGTTTGTCAACCTCAAAACAACTATATATATCTTTTTTGCTAGATCTAGCAAAGGAAAACCTGGATAGACCTATCTAGTATCAATATAGAAGCCGAGTCTGCTAATAGAATGATCTGCCCATAGTTCCTTGAAATTTATGCTCATGTGACTAGAACAACCTTGATGAAAATTTATGTAGCCAATTCCATGTAGGCAGGTACTTCAGCATCACAGATTATCATTGATAACCTTGTTTGCAAGCCTGCTTGAGTTAAGTACTGATGATTAATTTGAATTTTATGGGTAGCAAATGGAATTCCAAATAAAACTTCATATAATGTTGCAAATGCAGACTTTGTTGAACATCTCAAATATATAAAGAAAGCACGGGTTAGTTGAACTGGCCAGGATATGCTCAAATAATATTCTGCTATTGTTGAACATACTTACTGCTGGGAGTATAATGATAGAACCACGAAATTGCACCCATAAGAAGCTGTTGTCATTGTGCTTGTGTTGTAGATATTACACATCAGTGTTTGCCCAAGGTATATAAAGATACCCTGAGATATTTTGCTTTTGCCTTGTCGTATAATTTTCTCACTTTTAATCATACCTTTTTGTTGCTAAAATTTGTGTATACTGCAAGGCCACATTGACATGCAAGATTCTCTGTCGGCATCCCCAAAGTTTCTTCTCTTGAACATATAGGGACATGATTCTAACGTACTCTTACCTTTTCACTACAATTTGTCACAGATTTACCTTCCGCTAGAGTTATTCTTCCAAGCTTGCAGTGTTGATGCAATCTCTATTTGGAGCTACTGATGTCATGGATTTGTGAGAGGCTTCCATATGGCATCTGTTGATTGTGCAAGCATGACGATATATGCAAACTCCACTTACCAGAGGTCAAAAATTTACTCCTGAAACGGGCAACAAGTACATTTTTTTCAGCAAAAATGTTATATTCCCTTCTATTACATCAATCATCAATATATGCATTAACATGTTGTGAAAATTTCTGTTACAAAAAAACATAAATTCACCAATTCATGGGAGCTTTCTTGTCTCAGTTTGAATTATGAACAAGAAATATTCTCTCATATCTGATGCTCCAGATGTGACTTGTTCAATCATTTTAACTGCCTGAAGGCAGATTGGTTGTTTGTTCTTTTCCAATTGTAGCTTATTCTCAAAATTCTTATTTCTCTTTCTTAAGATTAGATACATTGAAGGAATCATACACCATTTTATTGCAATGGATTTTGTGTTCTTTATGTTTTCAAGAAGATTCTTTGACCAAAATTTCTACATATATTGAAGACAGGTACTCCAACAATTTACGATGACCTGAGAGCCCATGCTTGTTCCAACATTGCCCACCCAAAAGAGCCCTGTCCCTGCACGAGACCATGGAAGATGCAGAATAAGAAAGGTCAAGTCAGTTTAAACAAGCATCACGTACCAGAGAAAGGTTTCAAACTGAAGCAGCCTTTCATGACCCGTGATCTAATTACGGAAGACAATGCCACAATGCAACAAGGAGAAGAAGGGTAGTTGGTAGAACCAAGAAGGGTAGTTGGTAGAACCAGGTGACACAAAGGGGTGACCTGAGAACACAGACGAAGTGGCAAGTCTCGGTTTGGCACTTGATTCTGTGTTCTCCGGTAGCACTCCTTTGCGATCTACCTCTTTCATCTGTGCAAACAACGCTGGCCATGGTCGTGGAGAAGGAACTTTGAGTTCTATCTCTCTCTCTCTCGACACATAATCCGTTTAGTTACTTGCGGTGGACGTTCTGCTTCGGTCTTTCCTGATACCCTTTATATATAGGCTGTTGACAGATCATTGGGTTGTCATAGTGTTGACATATTGACGACACTCGGAAGGTGTCGTCACGTTCCAAGAAAAACAAAGAAAATACAATCTTGATGTCAGGAAATAAATCAAAATTTCCATCTCGGCATTTTATTTGCAATATACAGCAATACTTTGGTACTATAAAGAATTAATTAGAGGATAGATTTTAGGAAAAAATATGTAAGTTTGAGAATTTTTCATAGAGTATCTTAATTTAAAAATAAAATTTGTATACCGCTCTTGATTATATAAAAAAGATCATTTTACTTTTGCTCACATTGAATCTATTGCCACCTTCGTTAAACCGTTGTTGCAAAAAATGGACCGGGCAAAAAAAAATAAAATAATTAATAATTAATGATGCAAAAATATTCTAAAAAATTGTTGTACCAAAGTGTAATTTTGCTTCACTGCATACGTGTCCAAACCGTGTAGAAGTCAAAACACGCTGATTACGCTGATAAAAGAAGCTTCTTGGATCGTCTCCGTCGCTGTCTTCCACACACAGTTAGGATTGATATATACACATCACCCATTGGAGGAAGAACCATCACTAACTCACCATCTCTCATCCTCTCTCAGCCAACTCCAAACTTTCAATCTTTGCCTCTCCTCACCACAAACTCCATCTCAAATCACTTCTCGACAGCCGATCGATCTCATGGATACCGATCATGGCGACAACAGCGGCAAACACAGCTCTCAGAGCCACAAGGCTCACCCAAAACCAACCCAGCTCCTCTCCAGTGCGAAAGTAGTGGCCGACGCGGCCAAGTCTGCGCTCCACCACGAGACCGACAAGATCGACAAGGCCAAGGTCGCCGGCGCCGCCGGCGACATCCTCGGCGCGGCTTCTCACTACGCGAAGCTCGAGGAAGGGAAGCTGGGGAAGTACGTCGGGCAAGCGGAGAATTACCTCCACCAGTACCACTCATCCCATTCCGCCCACTCCTCCACCACCTCCGCGGCCGCCCATTCTTCGTCGACCCACTCCACCGGCGAGGCTCATCACGGCGGCGGCGGCGGCGGCCTGGAGGACTACATGAAGATGGCGCAAGGCTTCTTGAAGAAGCGTTGACTTCTCATCGTGTACTTTCTTGGAACGTGAAGAAGCTTTTCTTCTTGGACTGGCGTGGATGACACGTTAGCCCGTGTGTTTACTTCTGTTGAATGAGTCTAAAGAAGATTGCCATCAAGGTGGTTGATTTGGTTCAATTTCTTGATAATTATTATTTTATTTCAATCCTTTTCTTAATGAGATGAAGAACTATGTTATCGAGCAATATCCGATAATATGAGATGAAGAAAAAACATTCGTAGGGTTTTTATAGATGAATTAATGAGGTGTAGGAACAAAGTTATGATTGTTTATTATTATTTTTAGAGATTATTCATAGCAATCTTAAAAATAAATTTTATAAATAATAATTATAAAATATTATTATTTGGATGCTTACATGTATGGTGGCAACTGAGCTGATGAAGACACAGTTTATGATGGCTCAATTGAAAGATCTAATGTTAAGTAAAAGAATTGACAGAAAATGCAAGAAGCAAATCCCCCGAACGCGAGATGAGGATCGCGAACTCAAAGCTCTAATTAATCACGAAGAATGCAGCAATGTGGCGAACACGATGCTCAAATCAATCGAAGAACAAGACCGAAGAGGCCGACGCGGGCATTTCTCTCCCTTTTTCCAATCACTATCAGATCTCGAATAGATGGGAGATTAGTTCGTCGATAAGGACCTTCTCGTTTGCAAGTGCAGTTGTAGGGTTAATTCAGTAATTATGTTCTCCGTTTGATCCTGAATGATGAGCCAAGGGATATCATTCGATTCTGAGGTGAGAGATGCGGGATTCGGAGCTCTTCGTCTGGCTTCTTCGATCCTTCTTCCTCCCCTCTTGCTTCTGCGTTTAACTGCATCGCGGCAATTGGCGAGCAAGTCAGTACTTCCGATCTATTATTCGTTAATTGCTTCTTTTATCGCCAAAAACAAATGCTTTTTATATCGAAATTTCGTTTTTTTATGGAGGAATTTACTCTGTTTTTTTTTCTATTCTTATTCAAAGATGAGATTTTTATATTGTTGATGTGGGTGTTTTGTGAAAGTTTTCGTGGATTCTAGATTTTAAAGCTGAATTACATGTAGTCATCGATTCATTGGTCTCCCGTTTGGGATTGTAGGGTTAGGGTTTGTTTGCCCTTTTTCGTATCCTTTGATGATTTCGGGATGGATGCACAAGCGGCAACAAGCCTTTGTTGGAATGTGATATGGAATTGGTATACATTTTGAGCTTTGTGTTCATAACTTATTGTAGATTTCTCAGTTGCCGAGACATATTTGATCATATAGTGTTGTAGCTGCTGGTATGTTAGAAAGAAAAAAAACAGTCCGATTTTGTTCCTTATAATATGGTCGGATCAGTCGATGACAGTGGCTTATTGAACGGTTCATTTCTGCATTGTAACTTTAGCTAGTATTATTCTAGCTTCATGTTGCATATTATCTAGCCTAATATGATATGCATTCATTCATTTATCTTTTTTTTCCTTTTTCTTTGGGTGATGACACCTGAATGACCTCTTCTGGTTGTGTTGCTTCCTTGGATATCATCCACAATGCATGTCTTCTCATTCAGAATGTCTAAGGGTCTCAAGTTTCATGTCTTCTTGACCAAGTTCATTTTACCTGACATCGTTTTCATAGAATGCACATTTCATAGAATCAATTGCCAATACATAAGCTTAGGACTTTAGGAGTTACAACTAAAGGGTTATACTAGATCCTAAGTTTTGTTTGGATACATATTTGGTATTCCGGGTACTGTGGTTGCATGGTAAGTTCAAAATAGTGTCATTATCATGATTTTTTTTTTTTACATTATTCATGTCCATATTTGCAAACTTAAATATCTTCCTTGACATGCAATTCTCACTAAGTTATCTGTAATATCCACACCTATATTCCGTGTGCAAGGTCTTGTGCATGAGATATAATAAGAAAGAAAATACATTTAAAATGATCACTTCTGGTTTCAGGTTTATTTTGCCAGACATTTGGAAGTCTGAATAACATTAGATTTGGATATTTTGACTGTCTCAACTCACCACTATCCAGTAAGCACAGACGCTGTCGGATTCTACCATCATCTCACGATGTGGAGTTTTGCATCACGTGCCATTGCTGGAAAACTAGGCTCAAAGAATTTCTGTTCAAGGAGTAGCAACCCAAATCCTGATCGTTCTGATGATGAGGTTTCTTCATGCATGAGGAAGGAAGAAGGTTTGGAATGCCCAATCTGCTGGGAGTCATTTAACATTGTTGAGAATGTGCCTTACGTCTTATGGTGTGGTCACACTCTATGCAAGAGTTGTGTTATGGGGCTTCAGTGGGCTGCAGTTAAAATCCCAACCTTGCCAATCCAGCTTCCCTTCTTCATATCCTGCCCATGGTGTAATCTCTCATCTTTCCGGCTGGTCTACAATGGTAATCTCATGTTTCCCCGGAAAAACTATTTCTTGCTGTGGATGGTTGAGAGCATGAATGGTGATAGGCTGAAATCTCAGTCCTCAATCCATGGGGAACGCCGACCTGTATGGACTTCCAGTAGCAATGTGATGGGGGGAAGTCATGCTTCTTACCAGCACATCCAAAGATCTCCACACACGCATACAGAACACTCCAACTCTAGCCAATTTCATGTGCATCTTGTAGGTAACTACTTCAGCACCGAGTGGATTCATGCTTCTTTCCGCAAGTCTCTGGCTTGTTTTATACAATTAACTGCCAAGTTCCCCCTTGTAATAATTTTCCTTCTCATAGTCCTTTATGCCATTCCTGCCAGTGCTGTCATCTTAGCCCTTTATATCCTAATCACTGTCTTGTTTGGGTTGCCCTCCTTTTTGATTCTATACTTTGCATACCCTGGCTTGGATTGGCTTCTTAGAGAAATAATCACTTGACTGTTATTCCTCTGATCAACCCACACCACGACGACTCAATTATCGAAAGTTTATTTATCTGCTGTTGTGATTCACACAACAGTCATCTGGTGCTTGGTCTTTTGCTGAATGTATTGGCTTGCAACTTCTGCTGCACCTCAGGTTAGTCTACAATGAGAAGTCTGACCTTGACAGCAAATCTATATCACAGGCAGTAGCAGCACCATCACATTGCTGGACATTTAAATTTTCTACTTCATGGTAGAGTCCCAATTCTTGTTGACTTTAATGCATGAGTCATTTCATTATGTCACTTGATGTGCTAGTCTTCTTATATCATCTCCATTTTTGAGATATTTTGAACTTTATTTTATTAATGACATATGAGACACATTCGGTTCCTTTGTTTTCTTATTACATTAAGCGTGCTATCAATTCATGGCATTGCCTGTGTTTTGGCTTTTTAATGGCCTTCTCAGAGCTCCTTGTAACTTTAAACTTGACAATAGAAACTCTATGTGGTAATTCAATTTCTTCACATGTTATTAGTAACACTTTTGATGTAAATGGCAATATTCCTTCTATCCAACCAAGATGGCGATTGTTGGTGACTTCCTGTGGTATGATGGTTAACATTTCTTCGGTTTTCTTCATCGGTAGTTTTTGGAATGAAGCTTCAAACAGTCAGCTTGTGGATGGAACCAATAGATCATTCTCCGTGAATTCTGAAGTGCAAAACAAGGAGTTGGCAGTTGATTTCTGAGCAAATTGTTGTCTAATAATTTCGTAATTCTTGTAGTTTAATTTTTCTTTACCACTCAATATTAGTTGAATTTGATTATCCAAACCTAATAATCATATATTACGTCATAAAATTGTGTTTAAGATCTTTACTATTACTCTCTGAAGAATTCTAGCTCAGTAGCTCAGTCGCTGTTCTTGCCACTTTTTCTCTCTTAATCGGAAGACAGGAGGGAGGAAATTTAGGAAACTGGTTCTAGTCATCATCTTACAACCTAATGGTGTTCGAAGATTTTGTGACAGTGCATGGAAGGAGTAATCGACATCCCTACTTCTTAGGCACCAATTCATTAAGTTGGTAGGTGAACGTCTGCAACTACTTTCCATTGCCAAATTAGATGAGATTTCACCGTCACTCATCTAAATCGGTTAAGAGATTGCTTAGATACGATGGTTTGACAAGGTTAGATACGAAGATTCGACAGGCACAACCAATTAGATCATGTCGAACAAAGGTTGCTTTGTAATCGGATCTGGATTCGTGTCGCAGACGACAAAAAGTCAACTAAATCGCTCTAAGCACGCTTATCAAGCGATGCAAGTCAAACAAGTGCTTTCCTAAAACATGTTCTAGCAGAATCCAGAACGGGAAGAACAAATATGGAAGACTGGTCCAGCTTTGGGTTCTTACGACCTTCGGCTGCGGGTCCAATGTCGCGTTCCTGTTCCTTGAAGCTGCGCTCTGCCGTGGGTCCTGCGCTCGATCCCTTGCAGCGTAACTGATGCTCCAGTGCTGTTTTCCTTTTCCTTTTCTGCGTTATATACTCTTTTTTATTGGCAGAGAGCAGTTTGGACTGCGAAGTTTGGAATTTGGAAGTCTCATCTACGAAGATCTCCAACAGCCAAATCGGACTGTTTCATCGGTGATATCTGCTGACCGACCTGTCCTTCACGCCACGTCTCCCCCCTCTGCTTCGCTCCTTTGGCTTCAGATGTGGTCCGTTCCTTCCACCATCCACACGCCATCTTTTAAGAACGCCTTGCCTGCTTGCACGATCTCTAAAGATCTTGTCTTCCGATGTTTGGATCCGCCTAAATCTATCGTCTTTACGGTGCGTTACAGATTTTATTTCTATTGTTATTCTCTTTTTTCAGATGAAAGGTCGATCCTTTCTTGGCGTTTCGATGCGTAAGATTTTTCTTCAAAGAGATCTTTCGGATTTTAGGTCACTTGTTTGTATTCTCCGTTGAAGATGATTTCTTTGGCTTTTAGCGAGAAGTGTGGAAAGGTGTGACCGCGATGCATGCTTAAAGTTGTCTTTTATTGAGAGGATATTGTTGTTGTTCCACTCCCATGCGTCTCGCTCTTCGGATAGCTTTTGTCCTCAGCAGCTTTCTTTGATTTGTACGGATCCTTTCCATAGTTCTTCCCTTCTCTCTCTCTCTCTCTCTCTGAGTTGCGAAACTGATAGGCTTATACGCTGTTCTTGCTGTTGTTTTTGTGGATTCTAGTATAGTTTGTACTTTGTTCTGATGTTAATAGCGAAGTGAGTCATGGTGTCGATGATCTCAGTGGTATTTTTTTTCCCTCTTACATCAAAAAGGGTTTCATTACTAGACAATCCACCCTACACTCGATGTTCCATTATGGACATTATGTGAATCTTTATCGATATTCCTAAGAATTTCAATACTTGTCTCCTGTTCATTGGTATGGATTGGTGGGTTAGATGTGTTGCTTCAAGGAAGAAGGATCTAAAAAGTATACAGTATGAAAATGAAATTGCCTTCCCCCTCCTTGTTTCTCGAGTCTTTCTTCCTCTTCCCTCATTTTCCTTTCTTCGGTTGGTTATATTTTTTCTACCTTTCGCTTTTTAGTATTGTGATTCTTTAGTTCCTTCAATTTCTCTTCCATTTTAATCTTGTTATGTCTTCCAGAAACATTTTAATGTGATTTTTCCAGTCCACATATGAAAGGGATTTGTAGAACATAAAGGATAAACCTAGTCTGCCCCTCGTTGCCTTTCCTTTTCGAAGATTGTTTGGTTGCAAATATCATAAGTAATGAACTTTTAAAGAAGCCTACATGTTTGCACCTGTTAGTTGACACTGCTGTTGATTTCAAGATTTCCTTTCATCAGTCCCAGAGATGCAACATTGTAAAGTTATCTCTAGGAACATTTATGTTTTATGTTCAGTTTATGCTCTCATCAGATACAATTTAGTATGTGAATTGATCCTTTTAATCACATTATAGAATATTTTTGGCTGCTAAATCAGTGCCATTTTGGATCTCTTACATCTTTGAAGATATTCGTTTGCACTTATCTGGTTTTAGTGACATGTTGGCTTACCCAGCTGACAATTAGTTTTAATAACATATTAAAGTATTAGCATATAGTTGTGCATATTTGTTTCTGGTTTATGACTGTGGTCTTGTTTCTATTTTCTTAAGGTGACCATCCAAAACAAGTATTTTGTGATTGAACTTGATCATGTTTCTTGATGTTTTTGGGTAAAAGAGTGGAGTTTGCTAAATTTGTGAACAGATTTCAATATTGTACTTTTGTGCTTGTGTTTTTTTTCCCAAACTTTTACCAGGTTGAGAACAAGTGATTCGCGATATGGCATTAATCTTCATTCCATCTTAAAATAAATCATTAGGTACCATATGGAACTTATTTGTGTGTGTGTGTGTATAGTGTCTCTAGTTTGGAACATTCTGGTTCACTAGATTCATAAGCCTACTAAGAGAATGGAAATGAGTATCTGCTATTTACCTCTCTAATTGTGATTTTCTTTCCGAAAAAGAAAATGTGAATGCACCACACGATCAGCTATTTTGTCAATAAGATTCTGAAGATTGTTTAAGTTTGTCATTTTTATGAAGTTGCTTATGTAGTTAAATGAAATGAGGTTCGCAAACTCCGTAGCACACCGTTCAGTCAGCTTGAGATTGTGCAATAGATTCTAGCATAAAAATACCAAGTAAGCATCGATCCCCATGACTCAAGTTGAACTATGTTGTAATCTATGTATGACATGCACTTCAGTTTATGACAGTTGGTATCACGGAATTTGTCTAATGACTGCCTTTATGCCACAGAATGTTCTCTTGTATATAGTAATTTTTTTTCACACCTTTGCAGTGGCATGCATTGGTAGTTGCCGACTGGAGATCCTAGCCTCTTGTTCGTGTAACCAGAAGGATGGACAAGTATGTGATCTCAGTAAATCCAGGGATTGTTGAACCTAAAGGAGGAACGAGAAGATATTCAACTGGTGGAATGATTGTTAGAGGTTCAGTGTCTCCTTCGAACGGTGATGAAAAATCTCTCCCTCATTACCTCAGAGCACCTAAAAGCTCTTGTCATGATTATTGCAAGTATGGAAGGACGCATGATTTTGAAGCTAAGACTAAGGAACCAGTTCTTCATAAGTTGGGTAAAAAATCGCACCATGAAGATTCATATCAGATGAACTACTCAAATTCAGAAGGCAGAAGAAAGAGTCCTGCTATTAAGATGAAATCATCATCCCAAGTTAAACCAAAAGTCACCAAGCAGAAAGCTTTGCCACAATTGAAGGAATCCAGATTGGTGGAGGAACCAGTCAGCTTAAGTTTGCAGTGTCCATCAGCGTCCCATAAAAGCAACACGGCTGTTGATCAGGTAACTCTTTCAAGGTCCTTGGAGAATGAGCAGATAAAAAATTCAGTAATTAATAAAAAAAGTGAACCAAAGATTTCATCTCACACAAAAGATTTGTGTCACAAGCCTAAGTTTGCTGATCAGCATCCATCTCCAGTCTATGAAAATGAAGCACATCCTATTGTAGCAAAGATTCTTAAGAAAACACCGACAAGAAGCAAAACTAAACCTGTTATGCACCAAAGATTTAAGCAAAGGCCTTTGGTGCCATCCAAGGTGGTAGATACTTCTTTGAAGCCTGCAAAGCCGCTGAAGACAAATAAGACTCCAGCAGCACGGCTTGAATCTCCACTGACTGCTTCACTGGGCTTAAATGATAGCAGAAATGAGGGATGCAAGGTAAGTAACAGTCAAGGAAAGATGAAGATGGTAGAAAAGAAAATATTGAAACCACAAGTGCCTTCTCTATCTGCTAAGCCTGCTGACGATGGTGTCTTGAGCTTGAAGTCTAGGACATATCGCCATCGGAAGAAGCAAACTATCATGAAGAACCAAGAAACTGGAATGGCCAAACCTGATAAAGAAAATGATGAGGAAAAAGCAATTTATGTTATTGAGGCAAAAGCAGAGAGTGTTGGCTCAGATGGCTCACAACTGATATTGCCGAATGTGGAAAATGTGAATTTTGTTACCACGACACAGGAATCCTGGAAGCCAGAGAATGACAATCTAGATTCTGTACAGCATAATTCTCCAAAATCAAAATGTGTTGACTTGTATTTCCCGGAGCAAAAATCACCAAAGGCAGAGACTGTTGATTTGAATTGCCTTCATCAGATACTTAAAGATGATCGGTCATCCCAATCTGTGTCATCTGATAAGGAAGACACTGAAGAATCTGAGTCTTCTTGTACTGAATCAACTGGATCGGAGTCTGAAACTGAGGAAATAAAAAGCAGCAGCGACAGTAAATCTTTAATGTCTGAAATGAGGCCAAAACAACCTCCTAGTTTTGATCCCGAAGACAACCATTCCTTGCCTTACAAGTTAAGGTTCAGAAGAGGTAAAGTTATTGAGAGCCAACCTGAAAGCAATGGCCCAAGAAGGCTTACATTCCGAAGAGGGAGAGTTGTGGCCGTGAATGGTAATGGTGGTCATGTCAGAAGGAAAAGCTTTCGGAGGATTGTAATTGATGATGAAGCTCTGAAGGATCCTGATCATGAAGCTCCAACCATTGTGCTGAGACATCAAGATATGCAAGAGAAGAAAGACGCCCAAGGTCTATTCAATAACGTGATCAAAGAAACTGCAAGCAAACTTGTTGAGAGCAGAAAGAGCAAGGTGAAAGCTCTGGTGGGTGCTTTTGAGACTGTGATCTCTCTCCAAGACAAGAAACCAGCATCTGCAATATGAGTCTTCAGTTGAAGGGCCTTTCTTTTTTGTTGTTTCTAATTAGCTGCTCGTCATGAAAGCGCAAAGTCTATGTTGTTGGCCATAACTAAGTGTTGAGAGCTTTCCTCGGGAAGAAAATGTATATCATAACATGGTTTCACTAATATATATATATATATGAAGTGTGGTGACATTTATATTTGGCAACGTAAATTGGTTGAAGAGAGAGATTAGTTTTAAGAGAGAACTGTGAATGTTGCGAGAAGGATTTCATTCTCTTATCTGGTTTGCTGTCTATGGTGTTATGTACCAAATAAAAATGACCCACTTAAGTAGATGTACACATACTGATTCAAATTCAGCAAGTAGATATGTTTTATGTTGTTGATTAGTTTTTCATATTAAAATTTGACAGTTTATGTGTCAAATCTTTGAGTTAATACATCTATTAAATACACGGACGCTTCTCTTCCATATCTTGTCATAGCTTCTTTCCTCTTTTTCCCTGTTACATTGTTTACATGTTTTAGGCCCAAATTTACGGGTGCATCTTGGTGATGATGTTTGATCTTGTTGGTTCAAGGCTCAAGAGGAGCATGAGGAACTCTTGTTTGGCTCCATAATTCACTCCATGAGGGACTATTGTTGGCTAAGCAGGAAAGGCTGAGGCATATCCAACTTGAGATGGATGCCTGAATTGCATATTCTGAAGAGGAAAACTAATCACTCAAGGGTGATTAGTTTATATTATTATTATTATTATTATTATTATTATTATTATTATATCTGATATTATAAAAGATATATTTATATTATTAGATTATTATTATTATTATTATTATTATTATTATTATATATTATATATTTTTAAAGAAGATAATATGTGTACTAACTAATTAGTCTCATAGGCTCTAGTTTAATTTTGTATAAAGAGAAAATTGGCCTTGGCCCTTTTTTTATTTTTTCTTTCTTTTTTGGATTCTATCTCCAAAGTAATATTCAATTTTTAAAGTAATAATTTACTTTTATTTTTAAAAAAATGAAATAGATGAATTTTTAAAAAAATTCTAACTTTGAGAATTTTCAGGTAATGTTTAAAGTGATGTGAAAAGATCATTTTATTTCTTTTTTGTCGAACTTATTACTATCTCCTTCGAACATATTATTCATATTTTTAAACGAGACTCTACGTTATACTTGCCAAGCGGAAACGCGAAGGGGGAGGGGAGTTGGTTTATCTTCACTCGTAGTCTTCGTTGTTGGATGACTCCGATGGAGAAGGATGACTAGTATGATGAAGGTATAACCATGGGTTGGATAGAAGGCAATAGTTGGTAAAAGTATAAGGATCATTCTATAAAAGAAAATATTATGAGAATTTTTCAAAATTGAAACACCATATAATTTTTTTTTTAATTAAGAACTTTTTACAGGAATTGACCCCACAAAGATTCTCGGACATCGTCATTTCTCTTAAATCGATTAAATAACTACCATTCGATCGTGGCGTGTCTCAATCTCTGATTTGAATCGCGTCTCCTCCCTCCCAGAAACCCTCTTCCGCCCCGAAAACATCAACCCTTCCAGAAACCCTAATCTCCGATCGAAACCCCAACCTTCCATCGTTCTCATCTCATAATCGATTTCCCTTTCTTTCGGTGGATTTTGGAACTCGCTTTCGCTTCCTTCGGCGATTCGATGCAGATCACCGAGGAGCAGAGGAGGAGGGCGGAGGCGAACCGGCTAGCTGCCCTCGAGAAGCGGAAGCGGGCGGCGGAGGTAGCGGATGTCGAATCTTGGAAGCTCTCCAAGTGCCGCAACATGCCCAGCCCAGCGACGGTGGAAGCCGCTGTCACGCTGCGGCCGCTCTCCCCGTTTCGGGCCGTCTTTGAGATCTGTTCTCCTGACGAGTTCTCTGTCACCCCGGAGCCTCTACAGGGTTCTTGGTTCCCCGGCGAGGCCGATTGTCTCCAGATCATCGAGACTTGCGTCTCATCGGTCTGCGCCTAATCTTTCACATCCAAGCAGATGATCTCTTTGCTCTCGTGCTGGTCAGTGACTTGCCAAATTCTTGACGGGCTTATGGTTGATTTCTAGGTTGTTCCTTTCTACCTCACGCTTAGCCAGGGTGGTCGAAGGACTTCTGTCTTCAAGCTTTCGGATTATGACTCAGTGTTGAGATGCATAAAGAAGTTAGCAGTGGTTGAACTGCAAGAAATCCCTTACACGACACGTTTGGTCGTTGAGAAGTTCTCACAGTCGGTAGGCAGTTGGTGGGTACCTTGCATGGAGGGCCACCGCACGGAGGAACAAGTTGATGAGCTTCTTGGGAAACTACCCAGGTCTCTAAGAAATGCACTTCTTCCTTTTCAACTGGAAGGTGTTAGATTTGCACTTCGAAGGGGTGGGCGATGCCTCATTGCAGATGAAATGGGTCTAGGAAAGACTATACAGGTTGTTAATTGAAGATTATTGTTTTTGATCAGTTGTCCTGTTAACTTGGAAATTTACTATTTAAACAGACATATTGTTTATCCATGCTGTATTATCAAATTATCTTGTGGTACCGTTTACTGTCTATTTTCTATGTGATTTGCCTTAGATGCCTGAAACTGGAATTTTTTGTGGACAGTTTTTAAAATTTGAATTTATTGATTGTGGTTGATGAAATATTCAAATTTCAAGTCTTCCGCTTAATATCTATGTCAACATATAATTCGCAGTCCTTGGTTTATATGATTTCTGTGATAAATTATCTACATTATCATATATGCTTTTGGAACTGCTTCGGAAGTCTTATTTTTAGTTAACGTAATATGAATTTTGAGATGGATGATGAGACATGGTTAAAATGGATGGCTGTGGTGCATTTTATTATTGTGAAACTTAAGTTTAGGTGGAACCTGGGAAGCATAGACACGTCAATTTGGTGGACGTATCTATGTCAGACATGGAAACATCACCAACATGATTGGACACGTGTCCGACATGTGTATTTTTATTTATTTATTCTTTTTTATTTGGGACATGGCATATCTGTGTCGAACGCTTCTTCCATGCCCTTCCCCTTCCTCGCGTGACGCTTGCGTGCGACAATGAGTTGCATGGGCTTCACGTGATCACGGGGAAGCATGGAATTGAGGGAAATCGAGTCCATCTGCATCCATCAGCCACGGAAAGGTTGAAGCCATCATCACATGCACCATGACCCATTGGCGATCTCACCCCCATCGGTGACTTCACCAACCCCCACACATGACTTGCGATCACACCCTTGGCGACCTAACCCCCATCGACGACTTCACTAGCTTCCATCACACGACTTGTGTGGTCGTGCCCTTGGCAACCCATCAGCGACTTTATCAATGCCCACGCATGACCTGTGCAGTCGCACCCTTGGCAACCCATTGGCGACCTCACCCTCATCGACGACTTCACTAGCACCCATTGCACCCCCCGCGGTCGCACCCTTGGCCACCCTCGTCAGCCACCTCACCAGCACTTTCGTGGCCACGCCATTGATGACTTCACCAGCACCCATCGCGTGACCCCGTGGGGCCCCACCCTCAGCGGCCTAGCTCTTGGGTTTCCATTGGTGTCCCTATCGGCGATCCTTACAGTAAACAATAAACCTGTGACCTCGACCTCGACCTCGACCTCAGAAAGCCTTCTAAAGGCTTTCTGTATCTTTTTAGTATTTTTTTAAGAAATTGATGACCTTTTATATTTCCTAAATTACAATGCCACATAACTATACTAATAACTCTATTGATGGTAAATTATGTTACTGTCTTTTATTAGTAATAAGTCATGTATAAAATTTATAACAGAAGTAAGTTACGTGGATATATACTAGGAATTTATTAAAAAAACCAAATGTATTATAAATTTTAAATATAAATATTATAAAATGCATATATATATATATATTAAAAATATGTATGTCCTTGCTGTGTCTGGATCCTAACTTTTGAAAAAATGACATGTCACCGTGTTCGTGTCGTGTCGTGTTGTGTCCATGGTCCGTGTCCTGTGTTTGTGTCTGCTTCTTAGGGTGGAACCACTGCCATAAAGAGACTATTTATGCTTAATTGGTAAATCAATGTTTAAGTGGTGATGGATGAGCAATGTTATTACAGAAAAAGCAACTGTTGCACTTCTTATAAGTTAGTTGTTTGATAAATTAGTGATAGGTATACGATCATCCATAGCTGCCCAAAGATTATTATGCATCAGTTAGGTGAAATAAATTGTTTGAAACTATAGGTGCTTCTGAAGGGAGAAAGGTCTGGATATAGCAGGCATGTCTTTATGCTTAACAGAGCATGTGCTATTACTAGGGATATTTGGTTGTGTCCATGTACCTGAACAAGATTATTGTGATCCACAAGTTCTTCCTTTTTTCCTTGACTTTTATTGCATATAATAGTGCCACATTGTTCTACATGAATATATTATCAAAAGGAATCACATGCATGATATTTGGTAGTGTTCTTGGGTAGTATTCTTATGGAGCTGTGCTTCTTTTCTGTGCCAAAGGACACATCAAAGTTCACATCAATTGGTTCTTGAGATCTAGGGATTTCTAGATATCTGATCAATATGAGATAAAAATTTTTTGAGATCCCATATTGAGAAAATGTTCTTTCTTGAATTTGCAGCCATCTTTCAGGTTATAAAATTTATGAAAGAATCAACCTCGAATCTCCATTCTGTTCAGTAAACAAAGATTCAGAAGTTTGATTTTGATCTGAAATTCCTCTCTGGCCTCTAATATTCAAAATCAATGTTCTCAGTAATGCACCTTTTGATACATTGAAGTCCTTCTAAGTTCTAAGAGTTATTAAGCTTGTGATTTGATGCAATCCATAATCAAGCGGGATTAAATTAGGTTTTGGTTGAGTTCTACTTAAGTGAAGTTTTAGTTCTAGTGGTATTTTTTATTTTGATTATTTTTAGAATTTTTTTTAATGAGCATTTTTAGGAAGTCTCTGAACTTCTACATTAGGTTATTTTGATATTTGTCTCCAGTTAGGATATGATTTGGAAAATTATCAAGTCAATTTGGGGAGTTTAATTCCTTTTCAGATTAACTGTTTCGGTATTTGGGATGACAAATTTCCCAAGAGAAGAAACTCTTATCCCACAAGTTTGCTTAGTGTAAAATTTAGACCTCATTGGGATTTGGGTTGAAAAAATCTGTACATTATAGAATCATCAGAGGACATTAGATATTTATGACCGTGTGAATTAATGAAATGAGGGTTTGCTGGCCTTCAACCGTGTCCTTTATTGTAGAACTTTATGTAGTATCTTCATTGTACTGCACCTTTTATATTTTGTTTCTTCTGCTACCATCACTATCACATCCCATCTATTTATACTTTTTTTTTAATTATTTTTATTGTTTTATTTAATATATTTTTACTTCAATTTACTACCTTGCATTTTTTATGACTAGAATATCATAAGTTTACTTACAACCAAGGTTTGAAAAACTGGTTGACTCTGATATGGATCCACCAATCTGGATTAGGATCGGCCAATTTGGATCGGGATTGGTCATACTGATAGAATGGTGCCAAAGGAAAAGATCTACTTGCTTATTATAGTCCATCATTGGATGAGAAAAAGGAGAAGCAGGAGGAGAAGAAAAATGACTCACTTGGCATGTGTAAAGAAAACCTTGTGCTTCCTTTTCCACCATGATATGAGAGTCCTATTCAGATTTCTAATTCATGCTGGTATTAGTGTTTTGAGTCATTTATTGATCTCTAATTAGCTTAGATTGTATTGCTCCACCAATGCCTTAAGATAGTCTTGACCCTTTGAGGTCCTGTTGTGGGATGTCAGTGGTTTCTGTTATTCATATTTATCTTCAATAGTAAACTCTTATGCAGGAATTTGCTGTTTGTTGTGATTTTTCCTAACCCTGGATCACAGTTATGGCCTTATGAGACACAGAGACAAATTGATCGAGCTCATGTACTTGTGATATGGAACATGGATTGACAGCTGGAATTGCTCAATTAATTGACAGCTGGAACATGGATTTAGATGCAAATATAGTACTTAAAAGAGTGTTTGGAAGTGTCGTGTGAACCTTAAGATGGTAAGGTACGGCCGAGTTATGATTACATTGCAGAAAGTATGGGAAAGAGTCTTGCCGCAGAACTTTTATAACAATTACAAATTTATAATGCATTTACTAGTTGTTTTGCCCAAATATTCAACAAACATTATCCATGTTCGTAAGACATTGCTGTATTTATGGTATTTGATACAGAATTGAGTTGCATGATATTGCTATTGGCTGAATTTTTTAATATTTTTATGTGTTCATTGAATATTTTGCAGGCAATCTCAGTAGCAAGTTGCTTCAGTGATGAAGGCCCTGTCCTAATTGTTTGTCCAGCTGTCTTGCGATTTTCATGGGCTGAGGAATTAGAGCACTGGCTTCCCACCCTTTTACCAAAGGATATCCATCTTGGTACTTTCCAAAGAACATGCATGTATGAAGTAGATTAGTAGTTTTTTAGGAGCACAAAGTGCAATCAAGGGTTTGGTTAGCCTGGTTTGGTTTTATGACCATTTGCTTTCACTTTTTGCATGACAAATTTAAAAACATGTCTTTGAAAAGTTTGACCATCTTGGTTTACATGAATGTTGCTTTGTATGTTTAATTGCAATTTGCAACAGTGGTTTCTTTTATTTTCTGATTCTCTTCTGCTTCCTGCTTTTAAGTTATATATAATAAACCTCGGTATCTTTATTTTCTTTCATATGGAGGTTCCTTTGATTTTTACGATGAAACAAATATATGACCTCTAGGTTGCAGTGTACTTCTCTCAGTTTTCTTCTTTACTCAAATTTGCAGTTCTTAATTCTTATCACGTATTGGTACCTGACATATTGTTAATTCTTTATTTTTCTTGCGCGTTTTTAGAAATAATGTGTCTATGAAGATGCTAATCGTTGAAACTCTTTAACACTGCCAATGTGGCCAAGGATCTCTTGAAAGATAGAAATATGCAAAAATTGGTTTCTTGCCACATAGGTTTCTTTTGTTTCTGTGGACCTTATGGCAGTTGTAATCTGGATATTTTTCCCTAAGCAAAATTTCTTTGCCAATGTTTATATTATTAACTTTATCATGACAAGTTTTGGCTGTTACTTGATTTTCTTTTGCAGGCTTCATAGGTTTTTAATAAACAAAGGATGATTTTGGATTCAAGAATATTATGAGGCACAAAAGTAGATGATTTATAGTTCTTCTATGCTCTTAATTACTTGAATCAAATTCATTTCTACTGATGTGGCAGGCTGCATTTTGTTTATTGCATGCTCATGATAAGTTATGAATCAGCAGATAAAAAAATATATTTGTGCCTAGCACTATAATCAACTCTGAATTTGGGGGTGATTACTAGATTACATATTTCTTAACTTTAAAGTTAACCACACATCTTTGTTTAGACTCCTGAGCTACTGAGCCTGTGTTTCACTCCAATCATATTTATCTGTAAGCCTAGCAGGATGCTTAATCTTGCGTGCAGTTTGATGTTTAAAAAAAGAGTAATTATTTGACTTTCATCTCTTTCTTAACTTGGTTTACTCTGTTGAAGAATCTCCCACCATACGTTATGGTATGTACACATAGGTGCAGTGAACCTGTTGGTTGATTATCCTTCTACATTCCTATTTTTAGGAATTTTTACTGTCAAGGAATAGATAATGAAATTCTTTACAAATTTAGGATTAACTAAAAGAACTTATTCCTAAAATTCTCGTAAACATAACCAACACAAAGGATTGTCGTTTTGTGGTGCCGACTTGCAATGATGCCTTCTGAACATGGTACAACTCTAGTGTTGTGTTTATTGGTGTGCCCTTCTGCTGGCTCAAATAAAAAAATTGATTGGCTTATGTAGGCAACCTTAGCATGGGTTCACATGACCTATATATTATTTATGTGGTAGTGTGATATTCATTTTAAGTTATCATGTGCTTAACATTTGGTGGAATATGAAGTTTGTCTTGCAAGTGTAATATGTGACAGATAATATTATACTAGTGTGATTTGAGATCTCATGTTCTAGATTCATCATGTGATTTTATATGCTAATGGTTGATGTGATGACTTCTATAAAGAGAAAGAAAAATATTTAATGCTTTGTTCTCCGAAATTCTTTCTTATATTGTTCTCTCATGGGTTCTTTTTTGAAAAGAAAGAAACACAGTTACCTTTACTTTTTTCATGCATCATAGTTTATCATCTGTGATTGCTTCATTCACTACTTTTATTTTTCGACCAAAATAAATCTTGTAATTTAATTAGTAAGGAAGGAGATGTTATTTGCTTGGTGCTCCATTTGATGGTTGAAACATGAATGTGATGAATAAGGAATATCTGAAACTTTAGTTCACATGTTATGACTATCAACCATAACAAAGAAAAACAAAAGTGATGAGCAGCAAGTGTCATGTTATGATTTACCTTTCATCTTGTTTGCTCTTTGGTGTTGATTATACTGTCTATACGAGTTACTTAAAAATTGATGCATTATGTAAATGGTTATATTTTTTGTACTGGAGCTATTTCATTTAAGAATTTGATGTAGTACTTGAACTTTCTAAACAGACCTGATTCATATAAGGTACCCTGGATATTTAATTCATTGGGCATTGAGTTCTCTTCTTTTTTTTGGGACAATTCAGGGTTTTGAGATTTCCTCTTAAGATGCTTGTTGAAAACCAGTAAGAATTTGAAGATGCTTACTCCTTTATTATTTTCTTTTCTCAGTATTTGGTCATCGAGATAATCTTGACTACTTGGAAAGGCATCCAAAGGTGGTTGTTGTTTCATATACAATGTTGAATCGTTTGCAGAAGACTATGTTGGAAAGAAATTGGTCACTTATGATTGTCGATGAATCACATAATGTACGCTGCACAAAGAAACAAATGGAGTCAGAAGAGGTACCTTAGTTTGAATCTACTGGGTTATTATTGCAGTTAATTCTTCGGTAGCATAGCTTCTAATTTTGATGTTCAGCTTTTATTGAGCTTTGGGTTAATTGCTTTGAATTTTTTTCATATCAAGAGTTTATGCTGTATTCTCTATGTAGGCAATACAAAAAAAGAGTGTGGTTGTCTTGAATCTGTAGAATCAAGGTTCGCCGTACCGTACCGTACCGACGTTTCGACCCGGGCTCGGTACCGGTACAGTACGGTATACCGCTCGGTACACCTAGGTGTACCGAGCACTGTAGCACAGTGCTCGGTACGGGCGGACCGGTACAGGGCGGTCCGCGTACCGCTAGCCTGTCGGACCGGTACGTACCGCCGTACCGGGCGGTACAGTCCGGTACGGCAAACCTTGT